TGTGGGGGACCCTGGGCCACTGCTACCCAGGGATTCTTACTCATTCTTTCCGGCTTTGACCTCGTGAATCACGTGACTTAGAATGGCCCCTATTCTGGAACTTTCTTTGATGTGTTCTTGTTTGAGGACTGTTACTCCCGGTTGTACGTCTTACCCTGAGTGTGGAGACCCAGCCCCTGAGACCACCACAGGTCTCTGAGCAGTCGACAGCCATCCTTTCAAAGAAAGCAAAGCGAGAACAACTGTACCAATTTCATCTTTCAAAATCCAAATGCACTTTAAAATATACAAATCCAGCGTAGCTAAGCATGTTAAAAACAATAATGCCATTAATTTAACGACTTCTCAAAATAGGAAGGGGACCCGTGTTCACAGTACACAAGCTCCCCTTTCGCCGCCCTGCGGAGCGAGCTGCAGGGAAGGATACTTTCCCCGAGCCCGCGCCACCGGCCACGGCCGCTCTCAGGACAGCAGGGCCTGCAGCGAGGGCCGCGGGGTCGGGCTTCTCAGCCGTGCGGCCTCGTCTTGGCGGGAGGGCTGACTTAGGTGCGGGCCGCGGGGCAGCACCCGGGCCAGACCCTGGGTCCGGCCTCTCCTCCAGCCCTGGACCCTGGGTCCGGCCTCTCCTCCAGCCCTGGACCCTGGGTCCGGCCTCTCCTCCAGCCCTGGTCCCGCTCAGTTAGGAAGGCGCCCGAGGAAGGGCCTTGCGGCTGCGTTTCGAATTCTCTGGCGCCCGCTCCATTACTTAGTGCGGCAGGGAGCGACTTTGTTATCAGTTCAAGCTGTTGTATTTTTTTTCTAGCCCTGGTCAAGCAAAGACGGGAAGGTACCTTTCAACATTTGAAAAGTGGGCTTGCTCTTCTCATCTTCATGCCCAGCCTTTCAATAGCTGTGCTCCCAGGCTACGGTTTCCAGTGATACTGCCTGTGCTGGAAGTCAGTTATCGAAGGAAAATCCTCTGACGTGCAGGACATTTGTGTCGGTTATTGCCCCACATCTCCATATGAGCTTCACAAGCATTTCAGAAAGCAATTGTTTTTCTATTGAAATGTGACACAATGACTCAGGCAGGATGAACCATTTTCCCCCTGACATTTCAGGTAAGAAGTCTGAGCCTTACCCAAGCCTGCTCAACTAGTTCTTTCTTCCCCCGGTGGTACAGCCCCTCCTCACAGAGAACAAAATCGCCAAAAGTATTTCTCGAAGAGCTGTAAGAATGCTATCTCTTGTCGCTGGGGGTGAAAGTAGTACCACATTAAAGCACGGCTGATTGCTCCCGCCGGAGTGAGGCGCGGAGACCAGCGTGAGGAGCCGCGGTCACGGTGCCCGCGCTGTGCTGCCTTTGACGCACTCCTCCCCCGACTCTTCCTGCTGCTTCACGTCGCTCTTCCTCCAGCTTCCTCGCCCTGAGACAGCTGAGTCTCAAGCAGCAAGTTTCATGCCTAAGCTTCAGGTCTCCAAGGCTGAGTCTAAGTCCCGAGATGCTGGAGGCGCTCGAGCTTCGCACTCAAACCCTCAAGGTCGGCCTGCGGCAGCTCGCTCACCTGCTCACACCCGCCTTCCCTTTTAAGGAGCCTCTTCTACATTTTCTCCAGCACCCATCATTAGAATGTGGAAGTGAACATGATTTGATCCTGTTTTTCTGGCCTTCACATTTTCTTTTCACAGTAAATAACCCCCACTTTTATAAGAAAATGGGTTCTGCAACTATGAAGCCTAATTTCTTTTGTTTTTTTTGTTTTTTATTTTTTGTTTTCAGTACCAGGAATCGAACTCACGACCTTGTGCTTGCCAGGCAGGCGCTGTGCTGCTGAGCTAAATCCCCAGCGCCCCCTCATTTCTTTTGGCACTTTTTCTTTGAAAATATTTTTAATAACATGCACTCGAGGATTTAATCCACTCAGTTGCAAGTTGGTTTTTTTCACAATCAAAACATTGAATCCCGTAAAGGCAATGAGTAGAATTATTAAGTAGAGACACAAAATACTTTGAAAAGAAAAAAAAAGAAAGGAAAATCAATGCAATGTAACTCACATAAGCTTTACGATTTTGACGTCTCCCAGTGTCAAAATGTGGCCCAGCTTTTCAGCATCAGCTTGATATACTGCCGGTTCTTTCCCACCCTGAACCAAGCTCAACAGGACATTTCCTCACTGCAGTGCCCTTGTCAAATAAATTGCCTGTTACTCCCTAGAGTAACGATCACAGACCTCCAGTACGCAGTGTGCAGTGCACATGGAGGCTCGGTTTTACTGACTGCCTGCTGGGCTTTGGGTGCTTGAAAGTTCATGATAACAAATGTAAACCTTGAAGTAATTATTTATAAGTCCTTTAGTTAGTCGGCATATTAGAAGATGAGTTTACTAGGACTGGCCTACACATCAGAATCAGTTGAATTATATCAATGCTTAGAACTATGCCCGTGACATAGTAGTTACTTAAAAACTCTGTCCGGGGGACACCACATAGACGCTCCTACAGCCACACTGAGGGATGGTTAAAGCGACTAACTGATCCCAAAAAAGAAAAAAAGTAAATTCTCAACAATGTTTACGGCAAATTTACTAGTTAAAGAGCGTTGCGCTGGACTGCTTCCTCTAACCAAGACAAAGTAATAAAGACTAAATTTAATCTCTGGAAAACTGGGCAAATATTGGTAACAGTATTTTCAGACATTTGAAAATAGGAGTGAAAATCTGTGAGCCACAGGGTAAGAGAAGCAATGAAGTGAACCGTATCATCAGCCTCAGGATTCTTAGAAGAAGTTTCCACACTTAGGTAAAGACAGAAAGAAACCACACGGAGTCCGGCAACCTCCTGAGCGTGGGAAAGGAAGACCGAGGGTGAGGAGGGTGGACAGTGAGTCAGAGGTTTCGGAGCAGAGCGCTGGAGAGCAGAGTAACTGGGTCCTCACCAAAGGGCAGCAGGAAAGGACAGAGCAACAAAAACAGGAAAGTTTCTAGAGAAACCGATACTGCAGATCCGCATATCCGAGTCTCGGTGCAGAGGAAACACACGCATGCGCACCTGGAGGGCTGAGGCACATCATCACCAAATTCCTTGAAATAAGTAATTACGAGAAAATCTTACAAAGCATGCTGGTATGTGTTTATGCCATAGTAAACACTAAGGGAAATAGAAGGCACATTGTCGGCCTCAAGAAGGATGCTTTAATTTATGTTTAAATGTCAGTATAACCTGCACGTAATAAATTCAAATTTCCTTCTGCCGTTAGGAGGGTGATGAAGGGCAGTAGGGTTGGGTGCTAAGAGATTTAAATGAAGCTGAGGCAGGGTCAAAAAGGATCTTTTAATTTTCTTCCTGAGCATGAACAAGGCGTTTAGATATTACTCATCTCCAGAAATAAACAGTCTAAGTTTAAAGCTTACCTGTTATATCCTCAATCTTTTCAAAGTTATTCTACAGGATATTTCTCTTTATTTCTCATACTTATTTAAGATCATGGGGCCCAAATAATACACCCTTCCTCAGAGAACCAACTACAAGTAGATTTTAAGAGTCATTACTTTATTGTTATTTGGTCTGTGGTTTATATATCAAAATGTGTTTTTTTGAAAACCTGTAATAGCTTTGCTCTGTTCACTTCTAGTGCTTTGATTTTGATTTAAGTGCTATGAAAATTTAACATACTACTTTGTGCCTGTCACTCTTAGTGGATGGCTAAAAATCATCGTCTGTTTTTTCCTCAATATCATGCTGAAATTAAAGGATGAATAAAATGTAGCAAACACATGATGTGATTGACGTTAAAGAAATACACTAACGGTATACTTCCTCATATAGAGTGCGACTGTTGTGGGTATACATTGGAGAATTACTATACCTTTCTGAAAGCCAAAGAGGGAAAAGCTACCATAAAATCCAACAGTAGAATCCATTTTATTCTCTTTTTTCAACTCTATTTTTAAAAGACCAACAGCGTTTATTTCATTAAATCTTATTAAAGTCGATGAAACTGTTAATTTCCATCTTTCAGTGGGCGTTCCTTAAAGTGGCTATTTGGAAGTGAGAAAATCACCACGGTGTTTCAGTGTCTGGACCAGTGCACTAGAGCCTATATTGCACATTTGGGTCTGCAACCACCAGATACAAATATCGTAAGTGTAAAGTGAACTGTGAAACTAATTAACCTCTTAGAGACATGGTGTTAAGTAAGTTCTGGTTTTCTACTGATTCTGATTTATAGGATGTGCCTATCAGTGAGCTGTCATTCAAGTACTCTAAATGACCGGGTGACCATCACATCAAAAAGAGAGAAATGAAAAGAGAGACAGAGAAGGAAAGGAAGGAAGGAAGAAGGGAAGAAGGGAGGATGGAAGAAGAAAAGGGGAGAGAAAGAAAGAAAGAAAGAAAGAAAGAAAGAAAGAAAGAAGAAAGAAAGGAAGAAAAAAAAGAAAGGAAGAAAAAAGAAAGAAAGGAAGAAAAAAGAAAGAAAGGAAGAAAGAAAGAAGAAAGAAAGAAGGAAGAAAGAAAGAAGAAAGAAAGAAGGAAGAAAGAAAGAGAAAGAAAGAAAGAAAGAAAGAAAGAAAGAAAGAAAAAGAAAGAAGAAATTTAAGGCAATTTCAATTTGAAGACAAACTAATACAGTTCCCACAGAATGAAGAGAAAACAAAGAAGTAATGTTGACGAAACTTTTTACATTCTTTTACTAGGCATCCCTGAATGTGACTATATGACATTAGTCAGGATTAGAATTAAGCTAAAGCTTAAAGGACTGATTGTGACAATTTTCTTCCTTCTCCTGAGATTTCTTGAGTGTACAGTTCACCTGCATGTGCTGTATGGAGCAGACATTTTAGAAAGAAAGAAATGAAAGAATTCCTGCCAGTGTTCAGGGATAGCAGAGCTCAGCTCAAAACCTCCAGAGAACCAGTTATTGGCATCTAGGTTTAAATGTTCTACATGAAGTGTTTCCATCAAAGAATATACATGCAGGCGTTAAGGAACTGTTCTGTTTCATTAGTCCTCACATTCAGTACCTTGCCTCACCCAGTCTCCATGATGAAGCTCGTGTTCTGAGATACGGCAACATCGGTGACGTCCAGAGAGCAGGTCTTCCCAGCTAATGGTCACAGTGCCTTCTTCGTCTTCACATGCACTAATGGGCCGTTCAAACAGGGAAATCACGGCTGCTGTGAAAACAACGGCTTGCACCTTGAAGGAATTGTTGAAAGACAGACAGATGTAGGCAAAATAATTGTTGTAAGAAGATTTTATATTGTTAAAGACTGATAAGGAACAGCTAATGCATCAATAGGAATTTCTTCAGTATTATTTAGAGGAAACAAGGATACAGACAATTACAGTGAAACAACAGCTACAAGATTGGTGAAGCAACTCATTATCGCTTCTTTTTAAGGCACACTTATGATTAAAAACAATAAGAATGAAAAGCTTTCACAATTATGGAAGACAATTGTTCAAATTAAGTTCCTTTGAGGTCTCGCATATTTCAGTAAGCAACAATTTAACGAATCTTGGGTGGAATTTTATAGGAACAGTGAAAGGAAACAATTGCATGTCTCGGTTTTCGTGTGCCCTTCTCTAATGCATCTATGTCTTTGTTATATGATACAAGAAATTAGCATTTCCTGGTTGAATGATACTAAGAATCCCAAAAGCTTAAAAATGGAGGTCAGAACAAATAATCTGAAAGAATTATGAGAGATAAGCTTAAACATTTAATATTAAATATTTATTAATATTGGGATCAGATAAACTATCCTATGATGTAAAACCAGCAAGATTTTTTTCTAAATAAGAAATATATGACTATCCAGAGACAAAAAAAACCACAATGATGATTTGTTTGTATAAGCAAGGAGATAAACTGTAATCTAATCCAGGTCTTACATGTCTTACATGCATCACTTTATCAACTGTAAAATAGTTCGGTCAGGAGGTCATGCTCATGGTATTTTAATTTCTATTTTGACATACGGTTTGATGATCAAATCTGTAGTGTTCAATCTTCTTCTTTCCTCACTTACATTTCCAGTTACGTCCCCGAAGGAAAGAATTGATTCATTGGCATCAAGAGGATTGTACCAATAATCCATGCAAATTGGTGTTCCTTTCAAGCCTTGCAGTTTGTATTGACAAGGAAATTCTTGAGACAGCAGATCATAGAAGCAAATCTCTTTGCTTGTAAACGCCACTGCTATCTAAAGTAGGAGAATAGGAATCAGAAAATATCCCCCTTGAATTTAGTGAAATCAATATGCAAAGCAGACATGCAAATCTAAGTGTGAAATCAGACATCGCTCGCTGAGGGTCTTTAACAGTATTACAGAACTATACCATGGTGGCGCGAATGAACTTCAGTCTAACTTCGAACTCTAACCAAAAAAGCCTTTTCTCATTAGAAACATTGGAACATCCCTTTCCCCCATTTCTACTCTACATAAACCACAAGTATGTTCCATCCACAGTGGCAAGAACGCTAATCACGGAAGAGAAGCAAAGACACAGAAAGCTACAGCACCACACGGTCACTTCAGATACTTTATTAACAACGTTTTATAAAGCAAGCAGAGACTTTCCAGAAATGAGCTGATAAAAGCTGTGTAAGTAGTCTTATTGTAAGTCACAGAGAATAGCCTAAAGGCTATTTTTAAAAGGGTAAATGATCAAACAACATAAAAATCAGTCAGTGGAAATTCTCCCTGTGGAAACCACACTATTGGATTTATTAGAACAAGTCTTTAATTCAGCTACAAGAAATATGTTCAAAGAACTAAAGAAATGATGTGAAACAACGAAGCAAAAGCATAAGAATGCTATCTAACTAAAGAAAATATAAGTACACGTGTATTAACAATTAAAGAAGAATTCTGTTGATCTCTATTTTAACTAGCGTGTTCAATAAATTTAGATTTAAATGACAAGGTAAGATTTACATTTGCATTTTTTTAACAGAATCCCAAAATATATGAACCAAAACTGAAAGAATGGATGAAAATGATAGACATTTCAGTAATAACAGTTTAGTATTTTCAATAATGGATATAAATACTAGGCTGAAGCAGATTAACAAATATCTATTGAACACATTATCCAACAATACAGAAGACTATACATTCTCTTGAAGTTCATATGAAACATTTTCTGGGACAGATCCATACATTAGATGGCAAATGTGAGCCTTAATAAAGTCAAAATATTTGACATCATACAAATTTTGTTCTCTGAAATGATGGGATGAAATTGGGAATTGCATTGAACAAAAAGAAACAGGAAATTTACCTCAGCATGGAAATTAAACAACAGAGTCCCGAAAACCAAAAGGCCAATGAACAAATCATAGGGATACTGGAAGACATATTGAGATGAATGAAAGTGAAAGCACAGCACACACAAATTTATGAGGTACAGTAAAGCAGTGCCTACACTGAAATCAATAGTTGTAAACAGGAATATGATAAAAGAATGCCTCAAATCACTAACCTAACTTTCCATCCCAAAGGAAATAATAAAGATTATTTAAAGCAAAGAAATATTTTGAGAATAAAAAGTAGAAAGGCAATGCAATAAATCAACAAAACTAAAGTTCTTGAAAAGACCAACAACAATGACAAAGCTTTAGTTAGACTATGGGAGGAGAAGATACAAATTATTTAAATCAAAGAAATTAGGGTGGAGCTCTGGGGGCGTAGCTCCAAGGCCTTTGGTATAGAGGGCCTGTGGGGAGCGTAGTACTGCGAATCTTAGAGAAACGACAAAATGATTACAAGACAAAAGTATGTTAACTATAGGTCAACAAACTATGTGGCTTTTAAAATATGGACAAATTCTGAGAAACACCAGAAGTATCTAAACTAAGTCAAGAAGACCTAGAAAACGTCATAGCTATTACAAATTGAAAACAAAAGAACTGAATGAGATAAATTCCAGAAAGACTATCTCAGTGAATATGGCTTCACTCATAAATTCTACCAATACTTTAAAAATAATTAATACCAGTTCTTCTGAAAATCTTCCAAACGTTGAAATAGAAGGAATATTTTCCAAATGACTTTGGTGAGCTAATAACATTACCCTACTGCTGAAGCAAAGACATCATAAGAAAACTTCAGACCCATATCAAATATGTAGATGTAAAAATACCCAGTAAAGAACTAGCAAATAAAATATTATAATATACACAAAAGATTGCACAGTATAACCAAGTGATATTTATCTCAGGAAGGTAAGATTGGTTTAGCATACATAATCAATCAAAGTAAAACATCACATTAACAGGATGGAAAAAATTTATAATTTCAATGGACAACAAAAAATTTGATAATACCCAATACATTTTCATAATAAAAATATTCAACCAACCAGTAATACAAGGGAACTTCTGCCTGATAAGGGCATGTACAAACTGAACCCAAACAAAACAATCAAATGGAAAAAAAAGAAACTACCTCTGCACCTGACACCATGCTTAGTGGTAGAAAACTGAAATCATTACTCATAAACTTGGTAACAAGACTATGACATTCACTTTCACCACTTCTATTCAGCATGGTACTAGAGTTTCTAGCCAAAGAAATTAGACAAGAAAAAGAAATTTAAAGTAACACAACTTGGAAAGGAAGAAGTTAATTATCTGATGACATGATTTAGTATATAGTAAGTCCTAATGAAATCTACAAAAACAGCAATGATAAATAAACAATTTCATCAAGACTGATATATATATATATATCTTATTTGACTTATATCCAATGAACAGTCTGAATATGAAATTTCCAAAGGCAATGTTAAAAGAATGGAAAGACAAAACATATACTGAGATGTGATAATTGTAAAATATTTGTCTGATAAATCTGTATACCCAAAATGTGTAAGGAATGCACAAAACTCAATAAGAAAAAATCCAATACAAGTTCTCAAAGGATTTGGACAGATAATTCATCAAAGAAGATATACAGGTAGCAAACACACACATATAAATATGTTCAAAGCAACTAGTCATTAGAAGAATATAAATGAAAGCCAAAAGATACCAGTATAAACCTTTCAAAATGGTTACAATTAATAGAAAACAATGTCTGATCATAATCTTGATGAAGATGTGATATATCTACATGATGCACTACACCATGAAAAAAATAAACTACTGATATTCTCATCAACATTGATTAATTTCAAAATAATTACACAAAGTTAAAGAATCCAGACCAAAAAGAATACACAACATATGATGCCAGTTATATAGAACTGTGGAAAATGCAAACTAATCTCTGGCATCAGAAATCAGATCAGTGGTTTACTGACAAGGACAGAAGGGGACGTGTTACACAAGAGTGCAAGAAAATGTTTGAAGGTGAAAAATATGTTCATCACTTTCATCATACTGTTGTTTTTCCACAAGTAGACATACATGTATTAAAACTATTACCTTGGGACACTTGTAATGTGTGTAGTAGATTCTGTATGATTATACCTCAATAGTACAAAGGAAAGACTAAAATCTAGTTACCACTTCTAACAATAAGGAACACTGCAAGGCAGTCGTGGCATGACACTAACAGAACGCTGCACACAAATATATAAAAACACATAATCTGGACTAGAAGTGTGCCTTAACGTTTGAAGTTTTAATGCTTTTAAGCATTACCACTGGATCCTTAGCAAAAAGGAGCTACTAAGACAGTGCAGTAGATATCAGCAACCACCAGAAGGCAGCAGACTCTGAAGTGAAGGTGGACTGCCTCAGTTTACTAATTTTGACAACTCTCATTTCACCGTGTGTGATTAGGACAAATTCCACAACGTTTGCTTGCTCAGCCTCCCAACCTCACGGAAACTACAGTACTTTGCAGTGATCTAGAGAAGACTTGCTGAGTAAAGCATGTTTCATGAAGCTATCGAGGAGGATTATTTTCCTAGGCAATAGAATGTACATTTCCCACTAAAAGAGCCTTTCTCTTCAGAAAAATGGATGATCACAAGTCAGGCACAGGAAACACACCAGACAAATTCTAGCACATCCTGTCATGCTAGGAAGCAAAGGAGTGTCTAAAGGCCATCGCAGTTACAAAAATACTCAAAACCAGGAACTGACATGTCAGTGCCTTCTGACTAAAAATGGTACAGTTACTGGCAAGGGGGGAAACATTCAGTGGATTTTAAAAAAAGCAAATTGTTTTAAACTATGAGTTTCAAATTTTACAGATAACAATAATGATGATAGTGTTTATGGTTCATCTTTAGAGCACACTAGAAAACCAGCTTGTTATTTTTATTTAATGAATAATTTAATGAAATGAAATAATTTATTTAATGAAAAATCAGATATCTATCCTTTTTTATATAAGGTGTACTAAATGATAACTAAGTAATTAATGAAGAAAATTTCCTCATACACTGATATTACAGATTGTAAAGAGAGGAAATGCTTAAGCTAGGATATTATCATCTGACAACTCCTATTAAGTAAGTGGAACTATAAATAATCAGAAATTACTGCTAATATCCCATGACAAAAAAGCAAGCATTTTGTACCACCTGATTAAGGAACATCAAGCATGCAGAAACTACCAAGCATTTAGGTTTGACTACAGAATTATTGATCGTATAATATTAAACTACCCTGTGCACACGCAATCTGAAAAATCCGGATACATAAGGAAAACTCTCATAGACAAACATTGCGCTTAGTAAAATGTCAACTGCAATATCCATAAAATGGAAGAGGAAAGAAGAGATGGACAAAACTATGTAGATTTTAAGAAGACATTTTTCAAAGCTGGAAAAAGAAGCACTAGAAAAGACATGAAAGAAGGGGAGGAAGGGGACAGCGGGAGGAAACGGGCAACGAGCAGGATACAAATGAACGGGGTTACGTGGATGTTAGATTTGCCAAAGCGACTCTGCGGAACCAATACGCTGTAAAGAGAGGGAGAGAGACAGAGACAGGGAGAAAGAGAGACAGAGAGAGAGAGAGAGAGATCAGCCTTTTACAATATGTGGATTTTATTCCAATCTTCGTTCAAACAAAATACTTTGTGTAGGACAACCAGGAGAATGTGTAGAAGACTGGACATTGAATTGTGATAAGGAATTATTGCCATTAAGTGTGATACTGGTTATGCCAAAAAGATATCTTTTTTAAAATATAGAACTATTTAGAATTGAGATATCTTAATGTTTTCGAATCTAAACGGCGGATGCAGACAAAACAAACTTGGCTATGCGTTGAAAGTGGCGATCAAGGTGGACCCAGCTTGCTAACGCTATGCTCTCCGCACGTGTGAGCGTTTGAAATTGTTCATGATAAAATTTATCCCTGCTTCATACACTAAGAATATGGGTTCTTTAAGCTACAGCCTTCCCCTGAAAAGTTTTTCATTACAGTCTCTTCCTCTGTGTACAGGTACAGCCAGGAGAAGATACTGTTCTGAGTAGGCCCTACTCACTAGAATTAAGAAGCTGATTAGTAAAGTAGTCAAAATCAGACCAGCAGCGTTAAGCTGTGCTAGGCCCTTTCGCAGCCTCTGCTTTGCATGGAGACCCAGGAGCGGCCGGAAACTGCACGGAGTAGAGGCTTAACCAGCTGCGCAGCACGGCCACAGGAGGGAGAGACGCGAGTCGGAGCCTTAGCAGCAGGGTCAGTCTGAGGCACCAGGAGAACGGCTTGGGAAACCGAGCAGCTCAGCTGGCTCTCTGTGAACTCCCCCCAGGTCAATGAGAAGCACCGAATGAATAATTCCGCTCTCTCGCGCTACTGGTGTTACGCTTGCTGTTGATCAGGAGCCTGTCCCGTCCTTTGCCCCCTTTTTACAAGCAGTCTATTTGTAAAGACGTGGTACCTTGTTTGCATTTTCCAGGGAGACCAGACTTGTCACCCACAGGTGTTTGAGCTTGCTGGCGTCAGAAGTAACGGGGAGCGTTTCTCGCAGCTTTAAATTCTCTCCCCAGACTCCCAGCAGGCCTTCTGTGCTCACAGTCAGGTAACGACTGGAATTCTTTAAGAAAATTACTTTTTGGATGGTGCCCTTGTGTTTTCCTTGGAGGAATTCGAGGTCCTTCCACTGGGGAACCACAGTTGCCTTTGCTCGTTCGTCTTTCTCATAAAGCGACAGCAGTATGAATGAGGTCAGCTGGTCCCAGTTAATAAAGCCATCCCGAGCCACATCCACTTTGTCAAAGAGCTCCCCGTATTCCTCCAGTGTGCCCCAACCAACGGTCTCCGCCATCTTCTGCACGAACTCTTCCCTGGACATACCAGTGTTTTTCCTTGGCTCTAGGGACTAGAAAAATAGTAACAGCGTAAGGCATCACAGGTGAAAAGCACTGGGCCAAGCAAACGTCAGCTTGAACCAGCAATTCTAAGACTCAAAGAGAAATGCCTTTTACTTCCAAACGCTGCTATGTACGAGTGAATTTGGTCTGGGTGACAGAGAGCTTACAGGGCTAGAAACTGGCGTCCTCTGTTACAAATGTCCTTATAACCGGAAGAGGGCGGCAGGAGGGTCAGGGAAGACGTGAGGATAGAAGCAGGGGTCGGAGCGATGTGAGATGACCCGGTGAGGAGCGCAGGCGGCCTCTGGCAGCCGGAAGAGGTGGGGAAAGGATCCTCCCCTACAGCCTCCAGAAGGAAGGCAATCCTGACAATTGCCTAAGTTTGGCCCTATAAACCGCATTGTGAACTTCTGATTGCCAAGCTTTCAATTACTGCATGTGTATGTTTAACCCACTAAATCTATGTTTATGGGTGAATCCATGCATAGGGCTTGGGGCAGCAGGATAAGTATCACATAGTGAAACTTTCATACAACAACGTGGACCTCAGTTCTGTAAAGACGTCATTAGGAAGAGCAGTGAAGTCACAGGCAGCTGACTGTTACTATTCAGGGTGATGTTTGTAGCAGCGATGGTGAACCTTGTAGAGCTTTCAATGATACAAACAGCCCTCGCTGCACAAGCCCCACAGGCTCACCACCATCGTCCTACAGGGTCCGCACTCACTAAGCTGGCAGATGCCGAAACGCTGCCTCTGTGGAAACACGGGGTCAAGTGTCTGCAAATTTCTGGTCACCCTGTTTCCATAGGCTCCTCGACGTATAATTTTGCTTTAGGTGTATTTCCATGAGAAGATACCGTCCTTAATGTTATTCCTAATTAATCACAACGGCCAACAGCGTGACAAAGTGTGTCTGAATGGAGCTCCTAGACACACTCCCTCAGGGACTGCTTCGCGCCTTCTTGTGCTGCTGGACACTGCACGGCACTCCACTGCTACCGCTGGGGCTCTCAAGCCGCAAAGCAGCCCACAGAAAAGCAAGGATGAAAACGTCCAAATGCGGCTCCGCATAAGTATGGGAAAGATACTTCTGCAGAGTATGAGAGTTGGAGTGAGAAGGCAGAGCACTGCCTTGCTTGACAGCCCACAGCGCCCACTGGGGGACGTTTTTCCATATCCCTCACCTATGTACAGAGGACCAAGCAAGTACTGTGAATACTGTCTTGAAGAGCACAAAAACTTACAAATACAGAATACAGATATATTAAAGGCTGACTATATTTTGACTAAGCATAAATTTTAACACTGGTAGGCTGTTTGGTCCAGTAAGGTTTCTGATAAGAAAATGAAGTTTTCCTGTATCGAGCCAATGAGTCAATAGTAGCATATTGCAGAGCAAGTGAAACAAGTGTAAGCTTAGTCTTGATTCTACCCAGCCTTCACTGCTGAGCCTCCATTTCTCCATCTGTACAGTGGGTATGACAGCATCATCACAAAAACTGGTTGTGAAGATTAACTGAGACATTACATGTGCAAAAAGTCAGGGATCAGATGTTTAACAGAAGTTTGCCCAGGCTTTTCATTAACCACATTAATTTTCTGAAAAATAACTAGTGTTCAAACCCTTGAACCAGTCAGAAGCCATTAATTTGTCTCCATTAGAATACTTTTGAGTCTAGAAAGCTTAGATGGATGAAATTTTTAGTGACCCAGATTTTTAGTGCAAAGACAGAAATCTGGACCCAAAAGCATCCATCTGAGAAAAAACTGCCAACTGTTTTTGAAAACTAAGTCAACGCTGACCTTTTTCATAAACTATTACATCCTGATGCCAGTCTCTTATATCTATATCACCACCTCATTATTAAGACATTTTAAAAGCAAAATCTCAAGAGATTTCTATGAGATGTGACTCCATTTTTTTTATTTCTAAGAACAGGACCTTGTTCTGACAAATGCCAAGACAATTTCCTTGTTATATTCAAGAACGTAAAACTGCAAATATCACATATGCAACAAATTTTTTGTCCCCAAAGTGACATAAGCAATTAACTGCATAGCTTTCTGCAGAGCGACAATCCAAACATAAACTGAGGAAAGAGACGACAAATCTCTCGATTTATGAAACTGAAAAGAAATCCACTTGTATATACGATGCCCCCAACAATTTCAGTATTGATTGTTCAACCACTAACATTTGTACTTTAAATTTGAAAATATAATCGTGTTTTTCCATACCTTTGGTTAAAAGTTAAGAGTTTGCCTTTACTGAAAAACCTTATTACAAAATCATGCCTCCATCAATATGTGGTCTATGTTTATTAATCACATGCCAACTTGAATAAATTAGTTAAATGTACAATTACATAAAGTACTTGATCTTTTGCATAAGCTGAAAAGCATGAATACATTGACTTTTACCGCACAGTTAATTCTCGTTTTATCAGTGGTTCCCTCTGGGCCTCAAATTAATCCATTCTGCCTTACTGAACACAGCATGCTGTGTGAGGGAGACGGTGCCGGGTAGCTGGAGTTCTAGGCCTCAGTCTCACTTACTGCAGTGCTCAGTACGAATAATGATAACTACGAAAAAAAAAAGAATAATGTTAACTAATTGTTAGAGCCTTCATCAGAATTACTTGATAATTTCATGTATGTACAGTTCATGGATATTTTAAAGCCTGTAGCATATTTACACTCAATAAATATTAATTCTCTAATAACAGGTTTAAAGAATATTAAGGGCTCTAAAATTTGAGCATATCATCAATGACTAAGGATTTAACTAATTTTGTGCGTGTTTGTGTGTCTGAACGTACCCTATGCACAAAGTTTTTAAGTGGAAATAGTTATTAATTTTAGAAAATTGATCTTCTCTATCAGAAGTGGCTAGTTTCTAACTAGATGGTTATATGAGACTTATTGGTGTTCAAAATCTGAATAGGAAACTCAACCTATAATAATCTGATAGCGATAATATGAAGCTCTGTATTCGATGACTATAACCACTGTCATGGTAAAGGCTGGCTTTGGGCTTAAAATGAGAAAAATTATGCATGCTCTTTCACCTGCTTTTCGTCAGGAGTACAGACATTAAAATTATCCTGTGTGAGTCAGTGGAGGCAAAGTCTACCTGTTTCCAAAAACATTGACTCTTTTACGTGCAGAAGAGCAGCATTTCCTCAGTGCGGCTAACTGTAGCTTTCATTTTGTCATGAAGCACTTGTCATGCCGCTCATGGCTTTAGGTGAGCCAGAGGCTCGCATTCTGAGCTTTTGGGCAGGAGGTAACTCCACGGAAAAGTAGCTAAGATAGTCCTTCAATCTAAAAGTGAACTTGCATATGCCATGACTTAGTTGGTACAAACTCTGAATTTGTATTAGATTCACCACTGTGTGGAAAAATAATTTATCTTTGAGTTATCTTTGGAGATATACACAGAGATACACATGCTTGCATATACATGTATATATATATATATAATTCAATTAGCATTAATTTAGTTAGCTTCTGCATTTTATGTCTAAGTTTGCCATACAGTGTTGGTCTGACCTTGGACCAGCCGGTCATAACCTCTTTTAGGGTTTATAGAGGCCCCCACAAGACGCTCTGTATAAAAGGTCATCTATTCATTAAACAATCGTATTCAAACACTAGCTATTGTCACCGAAGAGGTCTACACACCAAGTAGGGCTCACAAGCGTGTACTTAAAATAAATAGAGAAATATTAGGAATGTTTGAAATTTGACTTCGTTATAAAATATAAAGCAAAAATAATTAATTCGCATTCATTTGTATTAAAAGTTTAATTACAATGGTTTTTATAAAACTCTTCTTCCCAGCAGAAAATTTGTTACAATTTAAATGTCAAGACTTTCAGATAAATACTACCTAACAGTGTTTCTAAAACATCTGCTTTTGGTCCTATTAATCAGTATTCAGTCTAGTCTTTGTAAATTGAAAAATTAGTACTCTCGCCTCTATCAGAACAATTCTTCAAGTACAGGTGAGAAGTATGTGTGCGATTAGAAAGCACCCTCATGCAGCTCTTCCAAGATTGCAAATTGCTTGTAAACTTATTTTGCTATGTACATTTAACTATTGGTTGAGAAAGTGATGATTATTATCTCCAGTTGTTTCATGAGAACCAGAAACTAGAATGAATGCTTGGTTGATTACCTCACTAGGCACAATTTTAGACCTTCAGAAAATCTTTCTGTTTTCCTTAGTCTGTCTCAAAGAACATTATAAAAATCATTTGTTTTTGCCTAGAAAGCATTTTCTGCACCTATAGTCAGTCAGTTCTAGACAGCAGTGTGTGAGCATGTGGGTCTATATTAAAGCACTAACTCTGTAAAATTCTCTGCAGACTCTCAGTTCTGTTAGATTTGGATTTCACTGTAACTTATATGAAAATGTAAATATCAAAAGCACAAATATCTCTTGCAAGAAACTCGAGAGCCTTTGTTTTGGGCACTGAGAAAACATCATGCACTTTATTTACTTTTTTTAATTTTTTTTTTTTTTTTTTTTTTTTTAGACAGGGTCTCACTCTGCAGTTCAGGCTGGCCTTGAACTCACTCTGTAGCCCAGGTTGGCCTCGAACTTGCAGCGATCCTCCTGCCTCAGCCTCCCAAGTGCTGGGATCATGTTCTTTAAACTGGAAAGATGTGAGCATGAAAATACACTTTAAAATTATTTATTGTTTGCTTAAATAACCCATGCTTATTAGAGGAAATACACATTAAACTAAAATAAAAGTCCTCCATTACTGATTTAGGCAGAAACAAAAATGACTATGTATTATTTACCAAATAGTTTCATCATGTACAACTTTGATGTAGCATTTTCCACTGAGAGCATACCATAAAGGCATGTGTCCTATAATATATGTTGATCTTTGTCATCACAATATTCTATGGAGAAGAAATATAATTATTTTTACTTCTATTTGTAAAATATTTAACTATTCCCAATGTTTTACTGTTACACATAAAAATCCCTCA